CGAAATCGACCCAAGACCGATTAAACAGCAATGTTAAGTGACTGTTGCCCCTTTATTATACTGCATGTAGGATAATAAACTGTTTCGTGAAACTGTTCACGTAATTTTTTCGTCCTTCTTTTGACTGAAATGTTTAAGTTAATTTATTATTGTAGAATTGTTGGATGGAAAGCCTATATCGACACCAGGAAGGCAGTTTATCGAAAACTGGTGCGCCCACAAAATCGCTCATGGAAAAAACCTAAGTGAGTTAAATCCATGCATTCCTCTAAAGACGATTCACTGGCAATAACATTTGGATAATACAGGCCAAGTAGTCCCGATAAACATGAATTTTAGAGCGCAAACAACTGGGGACTATAAATACATTCTGAGCTGAAGGGGCGATGCCTTTAGGCAAAGCAGTGAGAAGATGCAATATCTTTGCATTTTAAACGAGAACCCTGATATGAAACGAGAGACTTTTACTACCTCCAGCACCAAGAAGATGAGTATAAACTAACAGACTTCCGCTCTCGTACCTGCCTTCCTCTGCAAATATCGAGCTCAACTGACGGTCAGTGGCAACTTAAGTTACTTGCTACTGAGTCTTGTAAAGTGTAACGCTATTTAAAGAAAATTAGAGAAAAGACTATTGACCACGTCCCATTGTTATATACATTTTTAGGAAAATTTGCATTCACACACCGTTCAAAACTACTCATAGTTCGTACGACAGTCGGAGAACCGTAAATTAGAATAATAATAATAATAAGCATTCGTCTGTGGCGGCCTTGAATGATAAAAAACCAATCGTCATTAAACCTTTTTTTTCTGCTCAGGTATACTGAAGCCGAACGGTACGACCGTTAGCTGAAGGATCTGCAGAGCTGTGGGTCAAGGAAACTACAAACCAGTCCCCTAAATGTACAAATTAAATTAATTAATTAAATTACTAGAAATCCTGCTTGTTTTTTTTTCTGTGCAGAAGGTTGACAGGACATCAACCGAGTCAGCTCTATCATACAACAGTTTATAAGAAACAGGGAGCAGATGATCCTAGGAACAGTTTAGAACTCCTACTGTTACTGAGTCCGAAGGCTCCAAGAGTCATCGCACTCGGTGCTGAATACCAGTAGTCTTGGGCCAGGCCAAGTCAATTAATACAGTGGGCTCTGGAGAAGAAATTATAATGGGGAAATAGGTAACAGCACACCAAATGACGTGAAGTCTATTTTAACGAATAAAAACTGTGGTATTATTTCGACGTTTTACTAAAAACGTCTGGAAAGAGAGGAATATCCATTTTTGGCATACTGTCTTTTTTCTGTAACTC